GAAATGAAGAAAGACGAAGAAAATGGATAATTAATTCTCGTCGAGATCAATGGATTCCGGGCCCAGGAGCGTATCTTTGTGAAGTAAGTTCAGCTTCGTACTTTTCCATAGAATGTTAGAAAAATTACTCTTCTTGGTACTTTAAAATATGTATTTTCATTTCAACTGTCACTTATTGACGATCAACTGATTTTATAAAGTACAAAATCAATTGCAGAATGTGTATGTGTTTGTGCTGTAAAATATCGGCAATACTGTTTATGATGTTGTTTCTTTTATTATCGTGAAAGAGTTTATACAGTGTTTGTAAAATATGTATCCTACATTTCATGTAAACTTTGTGCTCGGTTAGAAATGTGATGTGCCTTTTTCTTTTCTTTAATTTTTGTACGATGTGATTTAAGTAGCATTCTATGTTTTGATTATTGTCGCCAGTATTTGGCGCCAATGTAAAAACTGGATTTGATCCAATAATAATTTTTTTTTTCTTTATAGTAAGATACATATATTCTGTATTTTTAGACATTTTTAAGAAGTTAAAGGGGATACTCAGATAACCGGCACTTGGCGAACTTCCAGAAATCGCGTTCACCTACTTGAGCGATAGGCGCCAAACAGTGGGAGGACAGTTCAGGTTGCAAGTTTAAACCTTCACTAAGCTAGGGAGAAAGGGAAAAGGGAAGGGATATTTTCTTACGCCTTACTTCGGCTGTCATGCGACTCTGCAGATGAATCTTCGTGCTGATCACGTGACTTTGTCAGTAGACGTGGTGAATACGCTCATAAGCTGTTTGTTGTTATTTTTAGATTACTATTAAAATTTAATTATTAATGTTAAATAAATCAAAATCAAATTAAAATGAATTAAAAATGAATTAATTAATTATTAATTAATAATTAAGAAATTAAATATGATTAATTAATTATATTTCATTAATAATTATTATTAAATTAAATATGAATTGTGGTTTATCCCAGAAACTAAGAAGTTCAGGAGACGGGCTCCCAGTTGTCGTTTAATTACCTTATAAATTATTTTCTAAACAACTTAATGACCTTATAAATTAATTATCCTAATAAAACAAAGTAGATAACATATGGTCTTTTCCTAACTTATCGTTCGCATTGACACATTTTTTAAAATTATTTACTTAATATTTAAGTATATGTTATTTATCTAGCTATAACAAACTGGAATTAATTTCTAAATAAATTAATTGTACTCCTAACACGAATTATTTAGAATAAGAAAAGCACTCGCGGGTTATTTGCACAAGATGGCGGAAATCCGTTAGTCGGAACTTAACTCCAAGACGAACTACTAGGGTGCAACAGTTTTTTACCGCTATCTCGCTGACAGACACTCTGTATCATACAAGCAATTTTTTAATCCCTTCTCATCAAGTTTATATCAAAATAAAAAACTTATAAGACTTTGAAATGCTAATAAGTTAATGTAAAATATTAAAAAGAAACAATATTCTGCTACTTTTCTATGTCAAGGATATTTCACTGATTTCTTTACATAGAGGATTTTGCGGATTAAAATTCGGTGTATGAGTAAAAAATTTAAACTATTAAACAAAACATGAGCAAAATTCTTTCTTAGATAAACAAATAAAAGTTAATTAAATTTATATCTTCAAACCTTTGAATACGATTTATCTTCATAGTTTTTTCTGCTGTGTTGTTACTCATGTTAGTTTTTAATGGTAATGAATATACATATTGAAAGTTTTGCATCACCGTATTTGCAACAAATACATAACCGAAATATATTGTTAGAAATCTTGTTTCCCTGCAGTATGCAATTCAGGATTACATTTCTTTGTTTACCTACATTAAAACTATTTTCTTGTTTCAAGACGAAGGGGAAAAAATTCTGCTTCCGTGCTAATAAATTCAAAAGATGCTGGTTTTTGAAAAACCTGTAAAAAAAACGCGAAAATTAAAAAAAAGGAGGGGGAGAGAGAGACAGATGTCTTTTGGTTAAGTCAAGATTATTTCAATGAACGGTTACGGTTAAGCTGCACTGGATTCGCTTTGTGGTTGTGCATGTCTTGAACATAGGAAATGTTAAACATTGCTCTTACTCCAATAAGATTAATATTTGTTTACATTTTTTAGATATAGAATCACACAGACAAAAAATCAGTCATCGGGTTGGTACAGTATTTGCATTAAGGCTTCATTAACACGAATGATGTCGCCACAGTGGTATCCAATTTATTGCCGATTTAGTTACAAAATTCAGATAACCTTTTCATTCAGTTCATTTATAAACAACATTAAAGACACACATATTAAAAAAGGAACACTTTTTTTTCACACAGTCGTCTATCAAATTTAATTTTTGCAAAAACTTTTATTATTGAAAAATATCTGCTACTTATTAATGCAAAATTATGTTAACAAATAAAAATATAAAATACGTTTATATACATTTTTACTGTTTATGCACGTAATTTTGAGCAAACTAATTTTTCTACGAAATATCGATATTGACTTGGAATCGATTTTTCGCGAAATGACGTAGGCGCAAAAACCCGCGAACTTTGACCTCTCAACTCTGAACCTACATCATTTTGGTTGAGTGCTCTGTGTGTATCACTTCAAAAGGAATCACCTGCCAAAGCAAGTATTTTTTCAATTAAATTTTTATCTCTTTGCATCTATTGATATTTGCATATTTGAATTACTAATTTTTATTTATATTAAAATTTTTATTTCTGTAACTTAGGAATATTTGTAATTTCTTCATATTTCAGAAGTTATTAATATTTATTTCTGCATTTTTTCCCTGTACTACTAAGCCTTTATTCCTGTATGTTATCAGTGTTTTAGTTTGATATATTGTTAGCTTAAATTTAACATCTCTTTTTAATTTAAAAATAATACATTTAATTTAATATTTGATTTGATTTATTTAATTTCATTTTGTTAGGTTCTATTTTTTCTTTGCTATGGCTACTTCATCATTAATGCAGAAATTGAAATACTTCAACATGATGACAGGAATGTCATTGATTAATGATGAAGAAGAAAAGGCAAGTTATTTTAGCAACAGAAGCTGGCTTGCTTCCGAAAAAAAAAGAGGAGGCCCCCACCTTGCCCAAAATGTGGTCATAAGATGAATGCCAATTCCAGGAAAGAAGCAAAACTTGGCTGGAGATGGATTTGCAGCAACAGGAATAGAGGCAAGTGTCCAGGAATGGTTAACCCCGTTGCAGGCACATTTTTTGAGGGGACCAAAGTTCCAGTCAGGGAGTGCATGGTCTTCATATTCCTCTTTGTACTGGAGATGAATTTCACGTTTATAAAGATGAATTTTATGTCATGGAGGAAAGAGCAGAAGTTGCCAGAAATACGCGACGAACGCGACGAAACAATATGCGACTTTATGTCCTATTGTAGAGAAATCTGTGAGGTATTTGCCTCTCATCACAGTACACAACTTGGTGGAGCAGGTAAAGGATTCTTAATTTTTTTCTGTATTTATTTTGTCTCACAAATTAACTGAGCCATGTATTTAATTCAACTTTTAATGAGATATGCATTACCTTATATTTTAAGTCCCTTACCAGTCGAGTGATAAAATGACTGAATACTCGTAGTTTAACCGTAATGAAGATCCTAGCAAACAGGCTGGCTTCGCTCCCAAGAGTATTCACAGTTTTCACCATGTGTAACATGAATACAAGTAAGTTCCCCTAAAAAGTACTCCATGAAGGCACCTCTCCTTTTAGGCAAATAGCCCTTTATTGCATTCCTATAATGTAAATAATAATTAGTTATATTTCAGGGTACTTATGTATTAGCCAATACTTACAGATGCACTGCTAACAATACACTGCAGTGATGCTTTCTTTAGAATACTGCAGATGTTCCGAAATAATAGTTCCAGAAAGATGCCAATTGTTAAAATATAATAAACATTTTTATTTAATTTTCAGTTTGCCGAAGAACAGCAAATATTCCAGTTGCAATGCTTCAAATTGCAGATGATAGAAATCATAATAATGGAAATGTTATCGACTGTTCAAGATGTAATTGAGCTGGGAATTGGTTGGTGGAAAGTTGCTTGCCTAGTTATGCAGGAGAATCGTGTGGACGAAAGCTGCAGGTTAAGTTACGTTAGGACATTTTAACATATTAAAGTCAAAAGGGCTATCTGTGTAAAAGGAGGAATGCCATTGTGAAGGACGTTTTGAGGGAAACTGGCTTATAATCAATTTACACATGGTGAAGATTATGAAAATAGTTTGCTCGCCTGGTAGACGCCATTTTATTGCAAAATTGTGATAATATGTTTCATTTACCTTTTATTTGCCTTGCAGGTAAAACCATTTTAGTTGATGAGACATTTCTTACCAAGCGTAAGTAGTATAACAGAGGGCGGGTTACCAAAAACATGACAATAACTGTTTTAGGAATATATTGTCGAGAAGACAAAGAAGGGCTGTTTTTTAGAGTTAATGGGAAAAGCAAGCGAGATATATGGCCATATATAAAGCGTCATGTTCATCCAGAAACTTCAGTCATTTGTACCGATTCAGCTAAACAGTATAAAAATGTAGAAAGCATGTTCTCTGGAGCTGTTCACAAGACAACAAATCACAGCAGAGGTAATTAAATCACTTTGTTTTCATATCTGAATATATTAATAAATTAACAATTTGTGAATAATTATTTTACAGGTCATGATTGGTTAATCGGTTACAGTCAGCTTGTTAAAAAAATATGTTTATGAAGAAATTTTCTAATGTTAAATAATTTCCTCAAGAATCTACACAAAAGCTTATTGACATATTTCCATTACAGGTGAATTTGTAGCTAAAAAGGATAAATTCAATACGATAAATCAGTTAGAAAATGAAAACAAAATTTTTAAAAGAACAATTGTTAATAGACGCAATGATCAAAGTCTGATACAGTATATGGCCCTTCATTATTACAAGCGTTTTCGTTTGAAGCAATTTCAATATCCGGGCGAAAAAAAATTTACCAGTTCCTACAAGATATTAAAACTGTATATCCTGGCTATGGAAAAAATGGTTTAGAGTTGAAATTTATAAATGAGCCAACAGTACAAAGTGAGGATATTGAAGATTTAATGCCACCGAAAAAAGCTGCCCGTCAAGATGATGAAATGCAGTTTATTGAAGATGGTGATGATATGTGGGGTAAGAATAAGCAATTTTTCATTTTAATTTATTTTAAGAACTTGATTCTTTTTCTAAAATGCATCATAAAAAGTAAACAATAAGATATAGCATTTTTATTATTATCTGCTTACATTTAGCAATAAATATGACAGCTTTAAAGGCTGATAAACCATGGCAAAAAAGACAGTTTGCATAAAACAATGCAATGTAAATGCAGAAGTCAGACAGCTTTTTAAAAGCAGATAATTACTAAAAATAGCATTTGGTATTAACAACAGCTGTTCAAAAGTACAAGTAGCAACTGCACGGTGATACATGCACCACAACTATGACGGATTTCTTTTAAGAGACATATATTGATTCTCTTGAAAAATGTATCAGCACAATTGGTGTTAATTCAAGAGTACTTGATGTGGGCATCTTTTAAAGTCTATGCCAGCCACTTCTTCAGTGTTGTGTTGTGATTTATATATTGCAGTTGACCATTTTTAATTTTAACAATTCTTGTAAATAACCATCAATAAGAAAATATTTCGTCCTCCATACTATTGTGTTTCTGTTATGACATTTGACAATGTATACTGAAAATTATTAAGTTTGCCATGTTCTGTCATCCCTTAAGCTTGTGATATAAATTCTGTTATGCCCTGTATATATAGAAAAAGCTTTGCAAAAAAAAAGTAATAAGTGCATGTTTTTCAATTGCATTTCAGAGTATGGAAATTAAAAATCCTGCAGCCCTTTCATAAACAAATACAGCAGAATTACAGGTTCGAAAATGTAATTTATTTCCTAAGTATTTTTGGTAAGCACTAAATGTAAATATATACAAAAGAAGGATGTTTAAAATGTAAAGAGTATTTTTTTATATGTTCAATATGATAGCTTTTTTTCCGGCAAGCCTGCCCAGAAAATGCCCATGATTTCTCCGAAAGAAGGGCTTTTCATAATATTTCCATGGGTATTGATTTTTATTCCTCGTCCATAACTTTCCAGATTCCATCTGTTGTGATGGCTTTGCACTTAGGAAAGCTTAGCTCTTTATGAGATTAAAGGCACAACAGTCCACGTGTGATTTTTTTTAAAATTCTGATCAAAATTATTCTAAAAATATGTAAAAACACCCTATTTGTATATTATTTCTTTATTATGTATCTTATTTTTCTTGTAACAGTGATTTCATTTTTATAATATCTTGACTGTTATACTTAAAAAAACATTTTTTGCCTCCCTTGGTTTTTGAATTTTTCAGGTTCGGAGGATTATGGCTCTTGGCGACACCTCCGTAAAAAAAAAAAAAAAAAAAAAAAAAAAAAAAAAAAACGCATCACGATTCCTACCTCCTGATGTAGGTTTGCACTTGATGTACAGACATAATTACTTTCAAAAATTTTAAATATTTAACGTATCATATTGCTTAATTTGTTATGCATGTCATGCTTCGCAATAACCAATTTCTTCATGATTATAATTCAACTTTCATTTCCTTAAAACTGAAATTAATACTTAAAAGTAACAATTGAAATATTTAGCATGCTTCTTTAAGAGTATTTTACAGTTTCTGTTTTTTTAAAGCAAGTGCAAACCTACTTCTAAGGTGATGTGGAAATGGAATCTATTTATCCCCACCTTTTTAATTATGGAATATTTTAAACAGATGCTGAAGCCAGTCAGTTTTTAAGAATGTTAAGTATGACTCTGAGTGTGTGACCTGATATGAGGAGGATAGTGCAAGACAGGGATTATAACTACTAGATTTGTGTTGCATGCAGTGTGAACATTTCATAAGTGTACAACAAAGTGATTTGGATTAATTATTTCAAAACACGAACCTCAGATGTTAATATTTCAAGGAAACTGTTTTTTAGAAGAACTGCAAATATCAACAAGAATATAATAAAAGGATATACAATACGTTATGCACAACTGCAATGGGGTAAGTTAAAATTCTTGTACCTATTTTTGCATTCATTCATTCATATATTTTATTATAAATTTGTTGGTAATATAATATGAATGGATAATTTTATATAAGATATTTATTCTATATAAAATGCTAACATAAGTTTATTTTAATATAGAGAGTAAAAGTAAATCTATAATGAACGGTTTAGTTCATCAAAATAAAATGTCATCCGAGTTATCTGAGTATCTCCAAATAATATACTCATGTATATTTTATCTTTTAAAATTTTTAACGTTACTTACGTGATAAATATTCCATTTGCATAATCTTTACTGCATTTATATGAAGAACATGTTTTCAAACATATTTAACTATTATTATAGATAAGTGTAGAAATTAATGGTCAGAATTAAAAAAGAAAAGTATTAAGTTGGTAAGGTAATAATGTTGGAGTTATATATATCTTCATCTAAAATACTAAGGTGAAAAAATGTATGTAGATTAACTTTAACCATATCAACAACTAAATTAATTTTATGTACATTGTTTACCTTTTTAACGCAAACGCGTTATTGTATTTAGCCTCAGGCGATTTTCGCCTAGCACCGGTTTCTCCCCTATGTCCGGCTCAGGAGGGAAATTTTGGAAAGCGTCTTTTGACGTCATTTCCCTCTTGGCGTCAAAAAAAATCCTTCCGAGGATTTGGCGATTTTCGCCGATTCAAGATGGCGGAAAAAATTGCGCCAAGTGCCGGTTATCTGAGTCTTCCCTTTTTTCTTTCTCTTAATGTTTATTGGGAATTTTTTCAAATTATTAAGTTTTGTTTGAAATGGCAATTTTTAAATTTTAAATTCTATATTTATTTTTCTATAATATATTTAGTTATCACAATATATAAATAATTACCATATGATAGATAAAATAGTGATGTGTATTTATCATTTGCTATATGACTGTAATTGTTATATTCTATGCCTTATGAAGTATCGTAACTTAGTTACTAGTGAGGGAGTGATGTTAGGCAACATTCACTTTACTATCTCACCACCAGATGGCTGCACTATGCAGGAAGCAGTCTATTCACAGTTTTGAATGTCTTGCCTGCTAGCATGAAATTGTGGGAAATAATTATAATAAATTATAAAATAATGATTAATTAGAAAGGAAAAATACTGGTTGATCGTAGATATTGCAAACTGATTTTTTAAAGTGTTTTTTGTAATTTTAGTTATTGTTTATTTGATTGCCTAAGTTCCTAATTTTTCTCTTGTGTTTTTTTTAACTGCATTTCAACTGTAACCTGATGTACTGATAACCACGTGCTGGAAATAAAGTGTGTTTTGTTCACGTGCTGTCTTTAATGAAATTATTAACCAAACGGGCTAAGTAATATCTTATTTTGGCACAGCTTTAGTATTAGTCATTTTTGGCAAGAAATTTGTTTGGCGACATTTTGGAGCAATAAACGTAAAATTATGATAACCTTGGTAACCCTAAATACTGAGCTCAAAAACATGCCGCCATTTCTGTCCACGTAACTTTATTGAATTTGGTAGGTATCAGAGCTTTGATGGCAGGAGGGATAAATTGTGTGTTTTTCTTAAAGTTACTTTTGTGTTAGGAAAGCACAACATTTAAAATATTTTTTAAAAAGCCAAATTTTTTATAGTTAAAACTGATGCTTTTAATATTACATCACGAGTCTTGACATTTTTTCATATGTCAACTCTGCATATTATTATAAACTCCATTCCCCAAGGGAAAAAAAAAAACACATTTTAAGTAGCATAAGGTAAACTCTTTGTGTTTCCTTTGCTAAGGAGATCAAAATTACCATGGTCTAAAAATACTTTTTTTGCCTCATATTGGAACTATAGGGATGTGTAATTGCATGAATTCATAGGTTCAAATCAGGACCAAAATTATTGCTTTTATAACATTTTTATAATTTGACTGACTATAAAAAATATAATGTTGCTTAGATTATGGAATATATTGCTTATAATTTACAGTTCTCAAATTTTGCAAATCTTACAACCTAATAGTAGCTGTGTATGAATAACCTTCACTGAGTATTATTACTTTTATTAATAGTATGTTGACATAACAGTCAACTTTTTATTTTAAATTTTATGCCAAATTTCTACATTACTTAAACATTTTATCTAACAGAAATCTGAATTTTTTGTAATAAAAACTCTATAATAAAAGTAAGAGTACAATTTATATATAAAAATTTGACTACATGGCAAGCACTTAGGTACTGATTTCAATGTCTTTAAATGTTATTATTATAAAGTTTAGCTATATTCTTATTAAGTTAAGATATACTTTTATTCTCTTATAATGTTTAGATGTACAGTTAGTATTTAGTCTAGATCGGATTTTGTTGACAATCCGTCATTTTTTTCCGATCTTGAAAGCCGGTATACATTGGCGACCAAAGTTTGTCGCCAAATCAAAAAAACGCCAGAAGGACCAATACTAAAGCTGTTCCCTTATTTTTTTTTTATTGTCAATCTGTGGACATGTGAGCAAACGACGTGATATGCCCAAACATATTATTTTGTATAGCACTTATGCAAAAAGCTGATACTTTCCAGATTGAGCTGAACGCGTGTAACTATAGATATATTGCAAATGTCCAAGTTGATGAGGTAATGCTTTTTTCTGGCTTTTGTTTAAATGCAGTGATTATGGGTTTATGGTCTGTGAATATTATAAATGTTCTTCCTTCCAGTAAAAATTTAAAGTGTTTGATGGAGAGGTAAATTCCTAGTCACTCTCTATCGTAAGTACTGTAATGCTTTTGTGCTTCGTTTAGTTTTATAGAATAAAATGCAACAGGTTTCCATCCGTTATCTTCAAATTGTTGAAGTACCGCTCCAATCGCCGAGTCTGAAGCGTTTGTATATAATGACAGAGGTAGTTTGTGATAAGAGTGTTGTATTGACTAAATCATCTTTGCATCGCTGAAATTATTCCTTAGCTTCATCGGTCCTCTGAATTTTCCGTTTATCTTTTTTTCAGGCTCCTTGAAGGTAGTCGTGTAGGAGAGATTGGTTTTCTGAGGGTCACCAGTTATTGGCTCTGACTCCAAATTAATCTTTATTTTTACAACTCCGTTTCATCAAATAACGTCAATCCATGTTTTTTTAATCAAAAATAATCTTTATTTCGCTTTTAGCAAATGTAAATCATTAGTAACATTTTGTTGCCATTCCAAGAACAACAAAAATTGAATAATCTTTTTGTTGCCCTTCTCAAAGCAACAAAAAAAAAAAAATATATAAATATATTAATCAGTAATTAAAGTTTCTGTATGAGTTCAAGCCACAACAGTCTTATGAGGGTTCCGGCCGGAGTTAGTTTCACTCAGAAACTAAGAAATAATTCAGCGGGCCTCCGGCTGAATTAAGTCTTGAGTATACGGTTTAATGTAATATTTTAAGGGATGATAGATGCAAAAATCATTCTTTCTTCAGCACACCAATGAAAAAATATACAACGATTAAAGCGTCACTAATGAGAATACAGGGAATGCTAACAAAGAGTATGAGAATATGAAAATTTTTAACGGAAGTGTAGCTTAAAAAATAAAGACGGAATATTTCAACGCTTTATGATTGCAATGCCCTGCCTGCGTAATTCTAGCTATGAAGCAGAAATTTAACCTGAATTCGATCCAATAACAACATAAGAATAAATGTAAGGCTTCTCTCTACAACTGTCATCCCCTGAGTACGATTACATGATTCAAAAAGTCTGCAGGAGCTCAGCAGTGGGAAGTTACTAGCATTGGATGTGCACGACTAGGGTGACCACTTTAAGTACTTTCAGGAACAAAAAATTTATCCTCTTTCCTAAATTATTCCACTCTCTGGAAAATAAGCCTAAATAATATGCGTGAGGTTTTTTCTTTCTTTAAAAGTATTAACCTCTGTCCAAGGGTACAGGCATCCGTTTGGTAGTTAGAATCGATTTTTGTAGCATATATGTGATTAAAATAAAATGTGTCTACTGATATTGTGGTTCATTTATATATATATAAAAAAATGCTTATATAATCCTTTTATTTTGAGCTCCGGCTAAAATTACGATTTAAGTCAAAAACTGAGAAGTACTGGAGCTGGCTCTGGCAAATTTTAAACACTGCTTATATCTAACTTTGTGTGAAAGTAACTAATGTTTTTGCCGCATATAATCTTTCGGTAGGGTACGAACTGTGCCAAATTTGATGGAAGATCCCTTCCCCCCTCTTATCTAATCCACAAACTGCGTGACGGTTTCCTCCCCCCTCTTTCTAAGAACTTGAATTCCCAAGAAGATGGGTGCTACAAAAAGTCATTTATCGCCATTAATGGGACATTTTATTAAGATTGCAAGCCTATCTATTTTCGTTTATCAATATTGTAAAAAATGTGCGTACAAAACAAATACTAATTTAAAATATGGCGTGTGCTAAAGTAAAAATGAATTTCTTTTACACTCATTTTAAAGTTTTATGATGCTTAAAAGAATAATGAGCCAGATCTTTTTTATTCTCTGTAAGAATTAAAAACTTTGTAGGTTGTAGATTTTAGCTGCTGATATATATATATATATATCAGTTTTGAATAATAAAATTGGTAGATTAATGGCATACATAAAACGGATACATAATCAATCTATCAAATATCGGATTTGTACCGCAAGTTAAATAAGTTTTCTTGTCTAGATAAATATTAAAAAATCTGAGATAGCAGAATGATTTTAACTTTCAAATTTCGCGTCGAAACGTCATTTTAGGTAAACAGTTCTAATTTAATTTTAAAAATTATCTTTATTAAATCTAAAAATTGGATTTCTTAAGGGGTTCTAAATTCACATTAATACTATTGCAATACGTGCCGTATTAAGCTTTCCATTTTTAGGTTATTTTAAGGTTATTTAACTTTC